GTAACACTTACACAACAATGGTTCTTGGTAACACCTCCACAAATGCCAAAAATTGCACAGAGAAAGAACTATAATATAAAAGTCACTTTTAATACAGCAAAAGTAAAAAAAGTTATGAGCATTGCATTGTTCTTAAACACACAGGTGAATAGGTTTTGGAATATCATTTGAAGTAATTGTTGCTGTGTCTAAGCATGACACTGGTGGTCCTCAACCTTTAAACAATTGTGCTGTTTTGTCTGTGTTTCCTAATTGTAAAATAATGTCTACAGTATCAAGAATTCCTGATAAAAAATTAAAGTTTAAGGGATGAGAATCAAACTACCCAGAAAAACCTAAGGGAGTTTAACCCTTTCACTATGATCTGCACATCCTGTCACCCTTAACAATGAGTCTTGAAGTCTCCTTTACAAGGCATTTTATTATCATCTCCATTTCTTGCATTTCTTGAAAACTTGTCAAATATCTGGGTTATGTTCTTAGAGGTGAGGAGCTCTGTCTCAGAGTAGTTAGTAATTGAGAGTAACTTAGAGTTATCATTAAGTTATCATTTTTAACACAAAGTCTGTAAATTTTTACTTCCATTTGAAATGAAGAAGTTTTTTAAATCACAGAAGTAAATGACTAAAGGAGTACTGCAAGTGTCCCTTTTTCACCACACTCAACTCCTAATGTTGGGCATGTACTAAAACCTGAAACAGCAAAACGAAATGAAACAAGCAAAACAAGCAAAACCACTGAAACAACCAAAATGAAACAATCGAAACAAAACAAACCTTATGACAAAAATTGCCAAAATATCATTGCTTTGCTTCATTGCTTTGCTTCATTGTTTTGGTTTTTTTTTTTTTGCTTGTTTTTCCTTTTTCCTTTCAGTTGTTTTGTTTTGCTGTTTCAGGTTTTAGAACATACCCTAATGTTGGGTGTGGAAATTAAAAAGCTTTTTTAATATATAACAGAAATTGAGAGTAACAAAGAACAACAAATCTTAACACCATGTTGAGCAGAGCAAGACTCATATACTGTTTTCATATCCTCCTTCTAACATCGCAATCACCTGTTGGTGTGGTAGGTAGGGGATTCAAGTGACATGCACTCGGCTAATGATCCTAGTTTCTTTCACATCATTCATAAATGATTCAAAATAGAAGATAAGCAAAGTCTGAATTAATTTGGGTTGAAACGTATTCAAACTACATGTTGTAATTTTGAATAAAATGGTTTTCTCCAGATTTTGAATTTGCACGGTAACTCTGGTAGTATAGTCTATGGATCATGGGATCACTGTGCGCATTACAAATTTATTCTAGTCACGGAACGTTTCATGGAGACTATTTTCACGTCCAATCCCCATGAAACATCATCCTCTTCCTGACATTTAAAACACGTACAGAAAACAATTCGGAGATCAACTGAAAGAAGACTCGATATTTAACACTGACGACGAGGATGAGATCCACAAATTAAGGCACAATGGCGGCAATAAACATGGCTTCAGTCATTTCAACACTTTCTGGTAACCAAAGGAGTGCATGGCAAATGAGCGAGTGCCTACTTCCCCGGAGACATAATAGCTCTAAGCTACGTTGTCTGTCGTAGTCTCTCGGTGCTCCAAAATTGCTTGCCGATGAAGCTTCTTGCGTGAGAAACTTAAGAACTAAATTCTTAAGGAGCGCTCAGCAGTCCGGAAAAAATGTTTAAATTGCAGGTTTAATTTGAGGTTTTGACTGAGGAAATAAATTAATTTACAGGTTTCACTGACATCTAAAACCCTTCCCAGAACATAAATCAATTTCGAAAACCCTCTATCTACACCACAGATTGGCAAGTAAACGAAAACGAAATCTTTCCACACTCACCGGAAACCCACTCCAATATGGCGTCATGGATGTGTTGACGTCGTATTGGTTGCTATAACTCGAAAGAACGAAAGAGGGAATGATCAAAGCAATGGAAAACAATAACTGCAGAGTACCAATAGAAATGGCTGCGATAGAATGGCCTCTCGTCATTCCCATCTTCGCGTCTGATTTTCGCTTCTTTTCTTTCTCGAGACAACCGATTGCCGAAAGCAGGATTCGAAGATTGACTGTGATCTCACGAAAAATGATAGGTTGCAGTCAAATTCCTCAAATCTTCAATGAGCGGAAGATGCGTGCTTCTGCGGTCAAATTCCTTGGACGATGCAATGGATGGAATGGTAGAATGGGAGAAATGAAAAACCACAATGCACGGAAAAAATTTTTGGATTAATGTCAGTATTTGGGCGACTGCCCCCCAACCCCTCCCCTAACTCAACAACTGTCAATTGACAACAATTTGAGGTTAATGTTGGGTTAAGGGAGGGGTAGGTGGGCATTTGCCCAGATACTGATATTGATCCAAATTTTTTAGGGCGTGTTTAAATGGAGGTGGGGGACCTCAGGTAGGTAAGGTAATTCGCCTGGCCGTGGTCGAAAAATATAACGCGTTTACATGCAATCTTATAACCCCGGGGTGCTGGGGTAAGGTTTCTTGAGGTTGTTGTTGCGCTTGCA